GTATTTAGTTAACTATCAATGCGATATAATGTGTATATTAAGTTAACTATCATTGCGATCTATCGTGTATATTTAGTTAACTATCAATGCGATATATAATTTATATTTAGTTAACAATCAATGCGATACATCGTGTATATTTAGTTAACTATTAATGCGATATATCGAGTATATTAAGTTAACTATCAATGCGCTATATCGTGTATATTTAGTTAACTATCAGTGCGATATATCGTGTATATTTAGTTAACTATCAATGCGTTATATCGTGTATATTTAGTTAACTATCAATACGACATATCGTGTATATTTAGTTAACTATTAATGCGATATATCGAGTATATTAAGTTAACTATCAATGCGCTATATCGTGTATATTTAGTTAACTATCATTGCGATATATCGTGTATATTTAGTTACCTATCAATGGGATATATCGTGAATATTTAGTTATCTGTTTGAAGACCAATGTGATACTTTTTGTGTACCTTGTTCAAACGTGATATATTGTGTATATCTAAGCCAATACCAATGTGATATATTGTGCGCTTTTCGGCATACGCCATATATAGTAATTCGTCTGTCTTTCTTTACAGAAATACAAAATCCAGAAGACAGAAATGTGAACAAAAATCACGTGATCATAATCATAATATCAAAAATGACATTTTCATGTCGCCGATATCATGGAACGTATCTGAAAAAAAAGTGGAATACAAAATGTCTCTCAGGGCAGCACAATTCTAAAAGACTGAAATATGATCTTCAAATTTCGTTTCAATAGCACAACAAATGGAAATTGGCACACCAAAGGGTTCCATGTAACGTATACAACGCACGTAAATAAAAGTCATTGTTAGTTCACACAAAATGCGTACACGCGCTGCATGGCGATACATGTCGGTACAATTACAGCATATGCCGATCTTTACATTAAATTAAAAATACACTTTTTGTATACAACGTATTTGGTTTCCATAATTTCGCTGAATAAATGTCCGACTTAAACGGCTACCGAGATCTCGCTGAAAGAAAAACATGAGACTTTTTTTTACCACTCAAATAATTTTCTATTCTCTCATGTTATCGCATCGACTTTCCCTAATACCATGGTAACATAAGCCTGAAGAATCGTGAGCACGATGACGGTAGAAAATTGAACACTATTTGAGAGCAAAACGAGTCACGTGAATGTCTCGCTCTCTGCGAGACCTCGGCGACCATTCGCATTAAGTATATTGCATATGTTGTGACTGTACATCAAAACTGTTTGCATGAACCACAACGCAAATCAGCTATACAGTTATAGCAATCATATTTCAAAAAATGTATAATTGTTCAAAGGTTAATAAGAAACATTACACATTTTCAGTGCCTAGAATGGTGAAACAATGACACTATTTGTGTTACAATATTATTATTTATACAAATACATATATCTAAAGTCACTGCTGGTAAAGGAGACAATACATTCTATTATTAGGTTTGAATATTCAAGTAAGATCAGCGAAATAAGCAAAAATAAAATCCGGCTAATACTTAAGCCGTACTATACTAATTTACAGCAGCTTACTAATACTATCACCATGATTGTTTTGGACAGCAGGTGTGGTCCACTTTCACACGTATCTTGACTTGACGTCATTAATGTCTTCGCATTCTTAATACCACTCAGTCACGTGGTGTTAATTCATATCCTGTGCAGTTGAACGCTTGACTATTACGCAGGCTAAACCAACTTCATAATGACATTAAAGGTCCCGGCCCAATCTTGAGTACTGACTGCCTAAACTAGTCACTATGGAGACAACAAGTGATGTTATCCGCAATTAATTTCGGAGGAACAATTACTCTTCGCTACAGTTGGTTTCGGTTAATTTGTACACATTTGCGAAGATGAGACCGACGATTATATATAATTGCAAACTTGGTGGTAAAGTATATCCCGGGAAAAACACGATGACGACCTCTGACTTTTTGGTCAGATGGTGGAGCAAATAGAACAAAATGTAATCGGTATATCCCCAGGTTGGGTGAACAGGGGGACAACTTTAGCGAGTTCCAAACATTAACAGTTGTCCTTATAACCTTTACTACGGCAGTGACCCTTCCATGTTTGGCTAAGATCTCCTTGTTGTTATGGTAACTCATATGTACACTGTCAATGTGGTAAACAGACGCACGCGAAGGCGAGTCTGATTTCGACCGTACTTAGGTACACGCTTTGGCATATCTATGCTGCGGTGTATTAAACACTTCGAAAAACACCTCTCAAAAATTAAAGATGATCTTCCAATCTGTGATGAAGCTCAATAATTCGCTTCGTCGCCTAGCAACCGATGACTGAACACACATCCTGCATTGTGAGTGGCTTCGTTAGAATCACCGATACGGTCAGCAGGGGGTGTGACGTCACCAGCGTTGTAAAGCCCTTGCCGTTTTGTCGTTGTGTTTATCAGTGGCATCGGCGTTGTTTCCATGGAGTTATCATCTTTTCAGTGAGACTGAGTCAATTCTCACACACCAGTATCACGTGTGAAGACCATCTTTGCCGTGAACGTAATAGAGTTAGCGCTGTCATCGAGTAGAAGCATCTGTTCTATGAGATATCGAATCGCGCGTCGTGGCAAGTAAAGACGACACGGAAGGAAATCAGTGGAGGGGAGTTGTACCGATTCTACGAGACAAATAGCGGACTTATCGCTGACTGAATCAAGGCATCAACATGGGGAACGGTGCCTCGCACGATATGTCTAAAACCATATACCTGGACGTAAAGGGCAAGCCACAGAAGGTACGTTATTTCAATTTTGCTGTAAACACGCTTACGCAAGGAGTGCAGTCTTGCCGCGACCGTGTCGTATTGCCATCAAGCACCAAATGTTGGTCGTTGAAACGTATCGGGGTTTGAATCCAATCCCGTGTTTTATTATTGTGAAGTGATGGTGGAAGGGTGGATGAACTGCCTAGACTGTCGTTCTCGTTTAGTTCAATGCGCGTTGTGTTCGTATTCATCGTACAATCTGTCAGCTCCCCTCGGATGCCAGTATCGAAATGTATTGTTTTTATCGCCTGCCCAGATGAATAACAGCCCGGTGATATGATAAGTACATGTACGAGATGTCAATGTGTTCGCGGAGATACTGTTTAGTCGTCGCGATTAACTGTCACGGCATGTTTTATCGGTGATAACATTTACATTGCACGCTCCTCTGTAACGCGAAGCCGATCTCACCAAGACGACCGGTTCCGGTTGTTTTGAAAAAAAGTCATCGTAAAATAAACTACCATATGCATGTTGAAGGGTTTAATTACTAAATATGTTGACGATCTGTCGGTTTACATGCCCTATGGACTCCTCCAATGCCTTCAGATACAGTGGAACGTTGACGGGTTATTAATTAATCTGTTCAAGTAATGGGCAGGCTTATCAAATCAATTATTGAATCAAGATCGGGTCATATTGTATTTTAATTGTCAGCGAAGAGCGAAGGTGGGAGTAATATTAGTCTCCAGTTATAACTCTGAGGCGACGTGGATAGCTGCTAGCTCAGTGGTTGTCGCATCAGACTCATAATCGGTAGACCCAAGTTTAAATCCTACCTTAGGCTGAGCATCAACATGGTCGACCCCTACCCTGAGTGAGTGTGCCACAGACTCAATGGGAAGGCCCATTCCACTGGCATTCACTAACGAATGCGACTTTGGGGGAACCTTGGTTAAGGTCCGTTGGTGCTTGTGTTCGACCGCATTAAAATTGCCATTTGATACGGAGATAGCCACACAGCCCTGTCAGGTAGTCCCAAACATGAATATGACTTCTGTGGCAAAATGTGTCTGCACTTGCACTTGCAATTCGCACTTACAAAATAGAAAAAAAGTCAGGAGAGACAACAGTGACATTCAACTGTCGCCTGGCACAGAAACATTATTAAAAAAAAAAACTGCGTGTTTGTTCTCAAAGCGAACGTTGACATACTTCACCAGTCACACGCCATCGTCTACTAGTAACATGGAACTTTTAATCGCACACAACATACATATTTTGAATTATGATTACGTACAATTATTTCATATTTATGTATACGTGCTCGGTATTGTGGGTACATCAACATGCACCCAGGAACAAAACAAACGATTCTCCAATTTGTTAAAATCTGAGTTATATGTGACGTACGTAAATTTAAATTAGAAGAACGTAGTCTAAGTTACTTGCATTGTATATACCTACTTCTGTTAACCCATTACGAAAGGAATGTACTGATAACAACATGTCAACGCTTAGAGCAAAACGGCGGCGACGCTGAATTTTTGAAGGAGCCGAGTCACAATAGGTCGGGGAATCTACTTGAAGACAGAACCATAGTTGTCACGATCCATTAAAATTTAATTTAGTTTTCTGCTAGGCAACGATACTTAATGAGCTCATTAGGGGACGACGATAAGTTAATTGTTTATTTTTTCTCCTTTAAATCAAAACCCTAATTAAAATTGTATACTTATAAGTTTATTATCTGAAAATGACAACATTATAACGTCAGTATAGTGGCACGGATCCAATGTGGTGTTATGAAATGAATAAAGTATATATTATCTTAACCTCGGCTACAACGGATAGTATATACTCAATTGCAAATTCAGCCGTGACATTCAATGTGTCCCCGTGCTATGATTAGTCTACCATGAATGCTTCCGTAATATCAAGGCGGGTGCTAGTCACCATTTTACGGCATTTAATTTCTAATGACACCGATACGATTTACTAAAACAAGCATGTACTTGACTTGTCAGCCGTAAAAGGGACAGCAAACACGTTAAGAAATCGAACAAGCACGAACACAAATCGGTATCAATGTACTTATATATGCATCCCGACTACATTTAATCATAATTTGACACACCGCGACGAAACACGGTACAAACCATACACATATCGTCGAATGTCCTTAACTCAGAGAGGGACGTATTGCAGTTCCAATTATCATAGCCGTTACTTAAATATATTAAAACCAATTCTGTCTTCTCAGTATAGTCACTGTGTATCTGACATCCGTTATTTTTGTTGTCGCATTTGTGTATTGCAATTATGAAAACAATGATTTGTAAATAAATAAATCACCGGTAGTCTAGTGGTTGTCGCATCAGACCCATTCCACTGGCCAAGAATGCGTCTTTGGGGGAACCTTGGTTATGGACCGCAGGTGCTTGTGTTTGACAGGGTCTAGTTGACGCAAGGATAGCGCATTAAAATTGCCATTTGATAGGAAGATGGCCGCATATCCCTTTCACATGAAAAAATTAATGCACTATATGTCAGCACTAGCATTTGCATATACAATAACGTCAGGAGAGACAACAGTGACATTCTATGTCCTGAACATAAAAACAATTTTAATAAAATCTACATTTCTAATCTAATCGCAGTTATTTGTAATTCATAGTGTCATGCTCACATTATTAAATGAGTATTCAGTGTTCTAGAACACACGTAAAGGATATTGACGTAAAAGCAGCGTCAAATCATAAATGACAGATGGTGGACATTTCCTGTGCGGTTATTGGGAATTATAACAGAGACAGCGGTGAGAAGACATAGCACATGCACAACTAATTGGCGAGATTGGAATAGATTAAAGTCGCCAAGATAATGTAATCCTTTCGACAGTGTATACCCATGGTATGCTTATCTGTTCAAAACTTATTGGAAAGTAAAACACGTTTAATAGATACAGATCGTGATAACGGGCGTCTCTTAAAGGGCGTCATTCGACGTGGCGCGTCCTGTTCGATATGGGACTCAACGGGTGTAAAATACATTGTTTGTTTCCATGAAATTCGAACACGCGCTGCACGACGACCACCGCGCTTTAATGTGAAGGTATTAAAAACACAGTAGAACGTCACTCTATGTGCCACTGTTTTGGCTGCACGCACGTGCATGTATGTCATGGCACGGCAAGCTGAAAGTTGAATTTGGGAATGGCGTGTCTAGTGAGTGCAAGGCAATGTTTCACTTAAATACTAGTATATTCCTAAATTAATAGTACATTTGAATTATTTATTCGCCAGACATTCAAAAACTGAATAATTCAGATGCGTCCATGTGTCTATTTGTCTATGAACGATAAGCACTTTATAACTTATAAGAGTTTTACTAGGTCTTGCCATATATCATAGAATTATATATGTCAGGAGTATCTTTGTTACTTCCTTGTGCGAAGATAACGTTCGTTGACTAAATGCCATAAAGGAAGTATTTGATAAGCTACAAAATAATCTCACATTTTTTCAGTCCTATATTATCCTTGTTATTCTCCCTCTCCGATTGTTGTACGCATCTGTCATTTATATCCTCATATGTCGTCACCAGAACACTGGCACAAGACTTTCCTTCTAGTCACCTGGCTTCGAGCCTCGAAGTACGGAATATACCTCAAGGTGTATTGTAAATAGGCTCACGTAAACTTATAAAAAAAATCGCGTAAAATCACGTGACTTTCATCCACACTGTAATGGTAATTACTTGGGATAACACTGATCGGTTTATATGTAGATAATTACTCGCTGTGTACGATGACCAAGCTAATTAGAATGATATCTGATATAACATGTGGTTAATTAGTAAACCAATTACTGCCGCGGAAGCCTCGGGGTCACCGCGATATGTAAGACGCCAGTTGTCACGTGATTACTGCGTGAAAGCTACACCTTTGACATAATAATAAGAGATTCTTTTAAAAACAGAGAAGGAGGCTGGATTTTGTAGAAACAACTGCTGTTGGTGGAAATGAAAAATAAAAGATGTGCACGACCACTTCACAATATAAACGAAAGTGTGAACACAATTCGCGGAATGTACGTATCATTCATTACAACTTGAACAGCTAAAAAAATAGACCACTTAAATCGACTGAACCCCAAATGTGGAGAGTATTTATCGCATTTGTAACACTGAACAAATTAATTTGTAGTTGCTCGGCGAAAATGTTGGCGCAACCAACCCAACTTTATGCAATCCCCGTGACACACACTTAGACGCAGCGAATTCTCTGTTGCAGGAAGTTGATTTCAAAATGGACTCTCTTCTCTGATAATCGTGACATCATGCGTTCACCGCTTTATATGTAATGACGAATGAACCAGGCCGGGATTTGTCGTATCTATTAAAATAAAATAAAACTGACAGACTACTAACATCTGCCGCCATTCCCATGTTAACGAATAACTGTATGCATACATCAATTTAATGTCAACTTATTTAATGGAAATCTTAAAAAGACGTGTTTTGTAGTAGATGGAATTATGTTGGATCTATAAATAAATAAAGTCTGTGGAGAAATGCGCGAATCTACTAGTAGTTCAGACTTGTACTGCGTGCAACTTGTGCAACCCGTACACCGTCGGAGAACGCGGAATTTTGGTTCAGAGGTGTTCGGCATCCAGACGACTTAGACTGAAGTTTTATGAAGCAAA